AAAAAAAAAAAAAAACAGAGCCAGTATAGAAGAAGTTTGGTTATTTAATTAATTGTATTTATTTGCTTCATAAATGAATTGATTGTGTTAATTGTTAAACAAAGATATAATAGTCTAAAAAAAACAAATATGAAGTAATCTCTGTGTTTCTCCAGTATATGCCAAAGAGTCAGCTATAATTTCAAACTTTTGGGTAACAGAGACTGCGATAAAAGTTCAAATATGAAGTGCTCAAGTTTTTTTTAACTTTTATTCTAAGTGTTACCCAAATATAACTCTTCTCCAAAAATGTACTTATAATATCTTCGATGTAGCTCTCTGCTTTTTTTCACTCTTTGAGACGGTTGTGTCTGCTGCTGTTTGCTAATTATTCTCTACGCCACAGTCACGTTAGACTAAATGCTTATCATCATGCTCATCACCTTAAAAATACAGCAGTAGAGGTAAAATTAAAATAGCAGATTAAAAAAATGAAACAATCTGTGAAACCACATCTTTGCTGATATGCTCTGTGCGGTAAGGCTGTGTTATCACAGTTGCTACAAGTAAGAAACTAACTTCAAGCAGTCATTTTGTGCAATTTGGAAAGAAAAAGAGATTTGGTGAAAAAACTACCTGATTATAAGATTTAAAACTACAACCTTGAATTAACCTGTAAAGAATACTATATTTCGAGGCAACCAAATTTGAAGAGAATTGTGTAAATCGTTAGATCACGTTTATCAAGTTTTGCCACGTTTTGGCAAGTTTTCTCTCCATAAATAATTTCAAAATTTTTCATGTAAAACTAGTAACACTTTGACCAAAATAGCTCTGCAATTTATTCCCGTCGTTTGGTCGTCTTTTTTATCCTGAAATAAAAAAATTTGAAATAAACCATCTTACTTTAGTTTTCTTCGCTGTGTTTTTATGAAGCATCAAACATCGGTAAACTATATTTTAAAACTGTCAAATGAAAAAACAAAAATTTTTTTCAGGAACAGCTCCAGTGCTGTTGAAACTGCATTTTTTTAATATGATATTTCTGAATTTTAAAAGCATTGTATAAATCACTTGATTTTTATCATGAAAAATGAAACTGTGACATGCGACTAAAATCAAAAAATAGTTTAAACTGTCGTTAAAATTAACTGCTGCAGTTGGCAGTGTAAAGTCAGAAAGTATTTTAAAAAAAAGATCACTCTCAACTATTGTAAAAAACAGCAACAAAATACTGAGAAATTGTTACGGTACTGCAGCTTTCAGTAATTCTTTTTTTCTTAGAAATTGATGTAGTTTCACAGTTTCCTTTGAATGTTTGGCGTCTCTTCAGACCACTTTGAGTAACGACTTCAGTAAAAGTCACTTTGCGCAATATATTTGCAAAAGAAAGAAAAAATACGAGAGGAATGCTTTTTTAATACTATACATGCAGTAAATCTCGTCCGCTTGTAATTGTGAGGTCAGTAAAGTGCTTTGACACTGAAAAAGAAAGTGACGAGGAAGAGAACTCAATAAATGCTGAACTATAGTACCGTGGCTATTTAAAAGGCACATCACATCAACCAACAGCAAAGAATGACAAGAACGCAAGTAAAAAGTTTTAAAACTTTTTCGCAAATACTTGGCAAAAAAGTTACTCTTCAAAATCTCTGATATATTGAGGTACCAAAAACATATACCATTTGGCTTTTCTTTACGGCCAGGATTATCATACAAGTTTTATTGCAGCAGTCATTTAAGATTTTCAATAGAATTTTAAAAAAAATATCGAAATTTCTG